GGGGGAGGAACAATAGGTATCAAAATTGTTTTCTATGATTTAAGAAAAAAACCCAGTCATAAATTGCTATTGATAAAATGAGATAACAGATTTTTAAAAAATCTTAATCAAACAGTCTCGATATCAGCTGACGACAGGATTGAAGTTTAATGCTCGCCAAGCATCATGATAATTTTTACTCGGTACAAATTTAATACGCTAAAAGGGAATCGATACCAGGAAAAACGGAGCAATTTCTGAAGTAATCACCCGCTTGTTCCCGAAAATCCCCTCTCCATGTTACAGCCCACTCAGCTAAAGGCTCATCCACAGCAGTAACGTTCCACACATGGACTATTTAGAGACCAAAATGGGATTTATTTTGGAGATGAGGAAACAATTGTGCAAAGCAAAGTTCTAGTTCGAAGTCAAAGGGTCTCCTATTGCAGATACAACGTTTTTGCCTAGTGGGAGCGACAGAGGCCAATAATCAGTTTCTCCCCCTCAAAGAGATGTGTTTTTCAGGAATTCCCCACTACGTGAATTCCGGAGGTTACTCTGATTTTTTTTTAATTTTAAGAATCGCCTTGTACAAAAGAAAGCTATGTGCAAATGCAACTATTGCTTGTACAGATATCGTTCAAAATTGCAACTCTGCTTTCGTTTTTGTTGTTTAAACTTCTTTTTACTTCAGTAGAGTACTAGAAGCGGAAATCTAGAGAAACATTTGCAAAACCACCGCCTACCACAGTGTACCGGTTAGGCTCTTCGCCGTCTCATACAGACGACTTGAGTTTGATTCCTGTGTGGGCGGAAGTTGTTTCTTGATCTTCCTTCTAGAATGCTGTTTCCCTCTTAGTCCTGATCCGCTTCATGATTTACTTAAATTTCTTAGATGGAGGTGTATAAAAAATGCATACTTTTATTAAATATGATTAGTCTTGAGTGCGAAGATGTCAATGCTGCTTCGCGCCTTCTCAGTTACTGCTACTGGAGAAGGTCAGACGAAATCACTAATAAAAAACACCTCATCAGAACCAGGAAACTGTTGTAAAATCTCACATTCTCGACATTTCACTTGCAAATCTACGTAATCTACCCAAGTAAATTATCAGGTAGTGGTTAACCTTGGCGAGAAAATGTGCAGCAGCGATGTTGACATATATCTCAGATTTCACACCGTTACGTCTACAGCTCACACACATCTAAAGCTCCGGCTGATAAATGACACACAGAGAAATATCACCCCCCCCCCCCAAGCAAAACCAGAAAAAGATGACTTTAATCAAATGTTACGGTGAAGTCGAAAGCCTAGTGATTAGGATGCCGGATTGCTTTTTCGGGTGTTCGAGGTTCAGCTTGCTCGACGTTGTGTTCTTGGAAAATATACTTTATAAAAATATTTTGATACAAGAATGTTCATCCCTTTACCCAGGCGTGAATTGGAAACTAATCATAGACTACGAAAGAGCTTATCAGTATGTCAGTGATTTTGCACTTGTAAAAGGGCAGCTTGCGTTTATTCTTCCCAGTTAGTTGTGGGTACTTCAGAATGCCATCTGGCATCATGTGTGCTGGGGTAATAATGTGGAGTGTAAGGCGCCTAGATAAATCTTGCTGCTAAGAGGGAATTTGAGGGGGGAAAATTATAGTTTATCCTCTTATCATTATTTATATTTCATATCTGGCCAGAGCGATTGTCACTGATAGGAAATGGGGTATCCACACCATGGAACTGGTGTCTGTGGTGTAGCGGCTAGGCGATTCACAGTCGCAAGCAGGATATCCAAGTTTGATTCCGGACTTGGGAGAACATTTTTATCAAGCATGGTCTTTCTGCTGGTTGTATCTCTCTCAGCCCAATTTGGTGTCCTGGCAAGCTGGGTCGGAAGTCCGCCTTCTAAATGGTCGAAACTGTGTCAATGGGGAGGTGGACAACATTTTAAAAAACAACAACAGGGAAATAAAAAAACCTGTCGTCGCGTGGATCCACTCATTCACTCTAATCTCATGTCTTTATCTCTCATCAGTCTTTCCTTTGCATACCCCTCTCTTGTACGACCTCATGCGTTTGGCACTTAGTAAATGTCAGTGTATGTGTTAAACGAGTCTATCTACGCTATTCGGTATTTAAGAGGCAGTATCTCCGAATTTAACGTCTGTCTCCGATAGGACTGATTAAAGTGGGTTTAGAGCCCTGAAAACTCCACAAAATGACCCATTCTTATCGTTCAATCTGGAATTCGAATTATGTCAATTATTACTATCATTGTTTGTATTATTCGCATAATAATTATTTTTATTAGTTTTATTTTCAGAAGGATGATGAAATAATAAGAGTATTAATAATGTTAATGATAAAGAAAATCATCATCATTATCATCATCAACATCATCATCACATCATCATCATCATCATCATCATCATCATCATCATCATCA